CGGCAGAGCCGGGCTGGAGCGCGGGTTGGCGGGCGGCGTTGGCCCAGGCGCGCTTGTGCGAGGCCGACCCCGAGCCTCCGCTGCTCGCTGCTTCTCGTCATCCCATTACCTAAACCAGGGGACGGGTCTTCTTGTCGGAGCGTGTTTTCTGTAATTTGTGTGGTTATCGGGTAACTTGTGGTTTCTGCATCAGAAGCTGGGCTTGGAAATAATTCACCTTCCTCTTTTTAAAAAAATCTTGTTATCCTACATTCTCAACCGTGCTATCGCCACTGCATTTACGTGGTGGCGTTTGTTTTTTTTTCTTTTGGAAGACGATCAGATAAAACTACGCGATCTTTTATAGTGAAGCTGTTGCTGCGGTAAGGCAAGAGCCAGTGGCAGCCCTCAGGTATTTAATCCGCTGCATTCTTAACCCTCCTGGCAGCCCTGTTATTAGCTCCCAGGATAAGAATGAATGCTAGAGAAAACTGTTGATTAATCCAAAATGTAGAGCTCTTCTCCTGTGGCTCTTCATTATTTCACATCTTCAACATTTATTTAAATGTTTTAATAATTAGTGAAGGTTTTAAATGCAACTGTGTGAGTACTCAAGGTACTCAGATTCATCCAAGGTACTCAAATGAGTACGAAAAATAATCTGATATTTGTTTTGCTGGGTTGTTTCTGTCAGGAATGTACAGTATTCCTTTGATAACGAATCTGAAGAAATTACCGTTAAGGTAAACTCTCAGCAAGTAAACATAACATAATTATCAGTTTCATGGGTGGAAGAGTCAGTAACTCAATAGGTTAAAACTGAATATTTACCTGATAATGTCTAAATGTAACTTAGATGCTTTGACCAGTTTTAGTGGATTGCATTTGCTGAGGGACCAGTGTTGATGCTTACCAGCGTATTAATTCTGCTTCTGGTAAGCTCTTCCGGAGCAAATTATGTCTTTCAAATACTTCAGGCCGCATGTCTGTAGGATCTTAGATGCTTACTTGTTGAGTGTCTTCCGAGTACTTTTTTTCCCCTCTGGTGCAAGTCATTCATGCGGAATTTTGAGTATAGTGAGCTGGTTGTGTTGCACAAGCAAACTTGATTCATGGCAGTGTGATCAGCCATGTAAATATGAAACAAAGAAAATACTGGATTACATAAGATTTTTGCAGAAACACTGAAAATTATTTTTGCATCCCACTGTTTTTATTATCTGAGCTCCTATCCAGTAATGTTCTGAATAAGCCTTAGGCTTACTCTGATTAAGAGTTAACTTTTTTAAAAAAAAAAAAGAAAAAAATCCATTGTGGTTTGATAGGGCATAGCTATTGTCATTTGGAGGACATCACCATATGACGTGATATTTAGATGTGATACACAGGGTTGCTTTTAGTTGTAAGGCTTTAGACAATTAAGGAATTTGGTTTTATTTTTTGCTGCTGTAACTGATCTCTTAGTATGGATGCTTCTGGAATGGTGCCAGTGATCTGATTATTACAGTGCTTTTACTGTTGGAGAGGAAGGCATCACCTGTAAAATATTTGACAAAAAAAGGCCCAATGTAGCAGCCAGTTGCAGCTCTTTAGATGAAGACCTACTGTTTCTTGGGCAATAGTAGGGGTATTTGATGAAAAACTTATAGAAACCATCTTTACAGAAGATCTTTTCCACTAAAGTTCTTAGGATAAGGTTGGTTTTCAGTCTTTGTGATGCGGTGTCACCAAAATTTAGGAAGGACAGGAGATCCAGTGTGTTAGTGGATTGGCTGTCATGTTTGGTCAAGCACATGCTGACAAATGAACAAATATTTTTTTTGCCATCCCAGTTACATTGTACTTGTCTTTGGACTGCTTTAGGACCAAAGTAGTTTATGTTGCAGAGGCCCATCTTTTTTATGATGGTTTCAGGAGAAAAAAAAAAAAAAAAAAAAGTGATTTAATGGGAGGTTTGAAGTACAGCTGGACTTTGGTTTACCAGATATCTTAATCTTACTTGTTTAGCAGGTTTTGTTGTTTTTTTGCAGGTTTTGGTGTTGCTAGTTTGGGGCATGTCTGTATTTAATCTTGGGACCAAAAGATAGCAAAGCTATAAACATCTGGAGCTCTTTAGCTTCCACAGCTAAATTTAAGATAATAAGATTTTAGATGTGTTTGCTACTCATGTTTTTGAATGTGTAAACCAGAACTGTTCTGTATGCAAGTATAGACACTCATCTCTTGGTTCAGAGACAACCAGAATTTCTGACCGTGCTGAACATTGCCTCACAGCACCTTCTGCCTGGACAGCTGCATGAGAGAAGAGCAGTAGGCAGATTTCACGGGTGGGAGCTGAAGATGCAAATTGCTTTTTGGTCATTCTGTTCCTTGGTGGGACTGCTTGTGAAGCTGCTGGGGCAACTCGGGGATTTTTGCAACCCATGCCAGCGCGAGAGGTTATCCATTGGTTCCCATTCAAAATTTACTTGGCATGTACAAGAGCTGTGGCCTCTGAAAGACCTGGAAGTCACGTGCAATTTGAGAGCTGCAGTTTAGCTTTCTGTTACGGATGGGTGCATGTGCATTTCTGTGTTAACTAGGATTCCTTCTGTGAAAGGTTGCCCTTTCCCTTTTCTAAGTGCAATAATGTCTTTAGAAAATAAATTTCTCATTTTCTTGGAGGTCCCTTAGGGAAACCAGAATTTTTGTTATGTATATGTGGGTTTTTTACCCCAAAGCCATTGCTTTTTGCTTGTGGTATTAGAAATGTAACTTTGGGCTGTTGTTGCAAAGATTTTTTTTAAAACTGGTGTTACCAACTAGTATGGGAAAAATTCCTAAATATCCTCTAGAGCTATTTGTTTTCTCTAATTGGCTGGTGGACTTTTAGAGAGACCTGTAAAAAATGTATTAAGAGGAAGAAAAATTGTATAGTAAACAGATTTGAAAGGTTCTGTAGGTCAGTGTTCAGTTTTAAAATCTTGATGATTCTTCACATTCCTTTACTATCTTCAGGTCAAAGTATATGGTTTCATATGTGTGTGATCAGTGGTCAAAAGCTTTTATTAAATATTTATAGTTTCCATCATGCCTTTTTTTCCGTTATCTCTGAATATTTAACCTGATGAATGATACCTATTGTACTACTTTAGAAGATGTTATAGTCACACCAAGAAAACACAGTTTTCTCCTGAAAATGATGTACAAATGTTAAGCTGTTACTTCTTGTACTTTTCATTGATGTTTTCACTGAGTGCACTACAGTTGCAGTGTAGCTTGTTTTGATAGTTTTAAGATTGGCAAAATTGGTTTGCATAGTAGTTCAATTTAAAATTTTGTGCGAATAAATGCTTCAGATAATTGGAGTGAGCTGATTGAAGGCACCAACTTTCAAGAAACATTCTTAGTTCTGTATGACACATTTTTCTGTATGTGATGTTGTAAAATATTGTATGTGGGTCAATAAGCTGTACAAATTCAGGTGCTAAGGGTTACTAAGGTATTAATAGAAGGTAAAAGACTAATCCATGTAGTTAGAATGGGAACTCCCTTTACATAAAGAACACTTGATCTTGTTTATAAATTTCACACATAATGTCATCACTGCTAGGGAATAGTATTCCTGAATGTCTTCATCATGTGGACAGTTGCATTTTTTTAACTCATTGCCATTAAAACTGCTAGTCATATTTGGAAGTATTTCCAGCTTGTAAAATTTTCTCAAAAGAGAAATCAGGACTGTGTGACAGTTGTTCTTTGTCAACATAGATGTTCACTGAGCAGACACTGAGGACAAATAGTAAGAGTACAGTTAGTTACACCAGTATAACTTAAATACAGCCTATGGTTAAACATGTCAGTTGATGGACTTACAAAAATGATTATTCTAAGGAAGTCACCAGTATTACTATAATTATTATTTCTTGTATGAATAGCCGCTATTATAAAATATCTTTATACCAGCCTAATTGCATTAAAAGCAAGCTATATATCATTTTCATTACACTAGTTTTGCTGGAGCAGTACAACTTTATGTTGCAGACCAACTTTATGTCTTTAGGATGGGCAATTGAATCTGTAAATGTTTGCTTTCCTCAGATTTCAGAAATGTATGCTCTAGTATTGTGCTTGCTGTGGAATGGTGAGATACTGCCACCTATTTAACTAGTTCCCGAGTCTTTGCTATAAAGCAGCTGGGAAAGTAGTTATGTACTGTGGCCTGCTAAAGTTCCTGTTGGTGGTGCACCATATAGTTCAAAATTAGACAGCCTTGACTTGCAGACAGTTCTGTGGCTTATCATTATTAGAAGTCATGTAGAGAAATCCTATATTATTCCATTTCTCTTTCCTTCTTCATGCCTCTAGTGCATGAGGTGTGCTCTAGTGCAGGCTCTGCACAGCTGGTGTTTGCCATAGCCATCAGGAGAAGAACTGATGTTTTGAGTTGGTATGCTGCTGCCAGCCTTTCTTAGACCTCTTAATGATAGTCAGTTGCAGTCTTGTGCTCAGTCTTCAATATTTGCAATACATTACCGGTTTCTTATTTTGAAAATAACTGATTTGTTCAAGGTTTCAAACAATAATCTGAAGGCTTTTTAAATTGCAAATTAAAAATGTAAGATTTTTTTTTATTCTTACAGGAAGGAAGAAACAGAAGCTTGCCAAAGAGAGAGCAGGGCTTTCCAAGGTAATGCTGTGTTCAATAATGCAGTGCTAGTTTGAAAGATGTTACTCTTATATTATTTGTAAGATTTGTTTAAGGATCTGTTTTGATTCCAGCATTACAAACACTTCTGCAAATATGCAGTCTTTAGGGTATTTTTAGTGCTCACAAATAACCATATGAGATGGTTGTTCCTTTTTTGTGTCAGATAGAGTCCTTGTACTAGAAAGTACATTTACTGTGTGATTAGATGGATTTTTCCTCTGTAGCATGTGCAGGGATTTTTCAGATTTAAAAATCATTGATGGGATACACCTATAACTTAAACTTGATATTTTTTTGCTGTAAGTATTTGATTTCTCTTTCCTTATTGCCAGTGGATCCTGGAAGAAAATATATATAGTTATGATAAACATAACACACCCTTGAATTTATATGCGCCACAAAATTGTGTGCTTAATAAACTGAGTAGACATATTTCAGGCTCCGTCTCTACAGATTTGTGGTGTGATGATAGGAGACCTGAGTCTGATTTTTCAGAAACATTCTGTGTACATTTAACTTAACAGTAACAATTTTAGATTTTTTTGCCAGTTTCAATGTAACAGCATGGTGTTGTGTTTGATTTCAGTTGAAAATGTTTTCTGCTAATTTTTTTATTAACTTATGTTTAAGGGCCAACTTTAGTTTTACTTTGTGTGTTACAGTTGCCTGATCTGAAAGATGCTGAAGCAGTTCAGAAGTTTTTCCTCGAGGAGATTCAGCTTGGCGAGGAACTACTAGCTCAAGGTAATAGCATAATTTTGTTTGGAAGGGTAAGTTGTAAATAATTTTTCTTTACCTGTGTTAGAAGATAATTTTTGTATATTAAGATCTTTGGGGAGTCAGATTCACCTAGGAAGAGCTTTTTACTTGTTTCTAACCTGAGTTCAGAAGATCCGTCAAGGGAGGAGGAAAGAAAACTGTGGATTGAGTCTCAGTAATTTAATCCACCGTTGATGGATGTTTTATGTAAATAGTTCACGGTGTGGAAGAAGGTTGATTTCATAACATTATGGTTTGTCATACAGGTGAATATGAGAAAGGTGTTGATCACTTGACCAATGCCATTGCTGTGTGTGGACAGCCGCAGCAGCTACTACAAGTTCTACAGCAGACTCTTCCACCACCAGTGTTTCAAATGCTTCTAACTAAGCTCCCTACAATAAGCCAGGTATGTGAAATGTCCCTGTTGTTTTGTTTTGAAAATAATTGAACTACTTCTCTTATTCACTACATCAGTCTCCAGTATTGGTTTTTGTAGTATGTTTTTTGTGTATATTCAGTTAGATTAAAAGAAGCTTTTTTTCACCTGAAACATTTAAAAGTGTATATGAAAAATGTCATCTAGCATTAATAGCAAACAGGCTAAAACAGAACTACAAAATTTCTCTCATGCGTAGGGTATGCTAAGCTCTTCTAAAGTAGAGACATCTGACTGCAACTCTGATATTATTAAGTGGATCCACCGTTTCCAAAATACAAGTTGGGGGATCACAAAGGTGGTAACTTTCTTGCACTGGGTCTTGAGTTTTATCTCTCTTTTTTTAATTCTCTACCTACAAGCCTCTGCAAATGCTATAGAAGTCCATTGGAATTAATCTGTTGCTTTTGCTAGCCTGTTGCTTCTGGGCCAGCTATAAACACAAAATATTAACCTGCACCAGAATACATGACAGTTTTGGAAGCTTGGGGTTTTCCCTGATGACAAAAGCGTTCGTAGTTCTGTGTATAAAATGCCCTCCCTTTTTAGCCTGAGTACTGTGCAGGTAACGTGGTAATACGCTAGCAGGTGAGTCTATTGTAAAATAAATAATATGTGTTACGTTCTTGAAAATGCAAGGGTACTCCCTAATGGTGTTACCTCATATAAAACAGAGACTCAGTGCTGTGCATCAGTCAGCTCTCTTTACAGCTCATACTTGGTTATGGTTCAGTTTAAGGTCCATATAGTTAGTAAAAGCACTGGAAAGTGTTGGGTACACAAGCTGTAAATGTCTGGGAAACAGTGGAGCAAAAATGTTTCCTTAGAGAACAGGGCCAAAAACCACACAGAGTTCATCACTTGAGGCTGACAGGATATTTTTTATCTGTCTTTGACATTGTTAGGCATTGCACAGTACGTGATTTCTGCAGAACTGGCTTCAAAAGTTTGTCAAATAGACTACCATTTTTAACATTAATCAGTTTTCTCAGTAATTACACTGCTTAATATTCAGTGTAAAATTACATTGCTTGATAATCAGTTGCCTACTGTCAATTTTATGTAATTGTGAATGAGTTTTTCTCCTTCTTACAGAGAATTGTAAGTGCACAGTGCTTGGCTGAAGATGATGTTGAATGAGGTCACACCACAACAGGGGGAAAAAATGTTTTCTTACCCCAGAAGATGAGCATCATTAGGGGGATAAAGGGGCAAACATAGTAGTTAATGGACTGTGTACCACATCGGGTTCTACCAGAGTTAAAATTAACTTTGTGTAGGTGGGTTTCGCAGGATTTTATTTATTATCCCAGTGAAAAGTGTATTTTGATAAGAATTCATTTTATAAATACACTGTGGTGAGTTATCAAAGTATCACTAACTTCATTATTATTAAAATATGCAGTTGTAATGTTGTACATATAAAGACATAAAACTACGACCTATTAAAAACCCAATGCTCATTTTTGAAAAAACGAAGTTATGGCAATAAAGATTTATCTGCACTTGTGTGTCCCTATAGTACTACTTTAAATTTCAGAACATTTGGGTGTCAGAGCAAATGATCTAAAAATGACTTAACATTAAAATTTATTTTAATGTTATGGCTGGTTTTCCAATGCTTTTAATTAAGTTTAAAACCTTGTGTCATTTCCTGAGAAAACAGATGTGATCATTTAAAAAGTAACTGATCACCTTAGAAAGAGATGTAGATCAGAATGGTAATAGATGACTGGCTCTAGAAAGGATGACAAATCCATTTCTGTTAGGAACAATAACATCTAAAGTGATTCAAGTCAAAACTGTATCTGGCAAACATGAAAGCAGATGTCTGAAATAAAGCTGTTTGGAATAGAACCTGGGGCAGATTGTAAGAGCACAAAGGTTGGTTTTTTGGAAAGCTTGAGACCTTTTTGCAAGATAGGCAGTTAACTTTTCAGTATCTAGTCTTCAAGACCATAGAAAATGGTTGTTAACAGTCCTTCGCATTTGCCTTAAAAAATTTGCACTGATAAGGTAAGACCTTGATATCCACAGGCTAAGCTAGCTAAAGCTAATGGAGTTATAAAGATGATGTAGAATTTCAGTATGATGTGATACGGTAAAAAATTAGGTAAGTGTTCCTTTGCCAGTGAACATGAGGCAAGTAATACACAGACTCAAGGGAGTAGCAGAAGCATATTTCTGAAAGCAAGTTTTCCATGAATAGGATGTTCCAAATGTCAGAACAGATTGACTTGTACTGTTCTGTCTTTTTGTGCTGTCACCATTCAGGTGGCAGAAGAAACAATTGAAAATGTAGCTTTATATTTTTGGCATGGTGACTTGCTTTAACTTAAGGAGAAGAAAGGAGGAGAATGCTTTGAGGTGTCTGTCTTTTAGACCAGCTCATGGTTTGTGCTAATGATGCTGATACATTAATAATGAGGTACTAGGTGGCATAGTCCAAGTAGAAGTGAGATACTCTGAGAGCACTTTAACCAACATTCCCATCTGTCTTTGTCTCATTTCAGCCTGGTGTAAGTTTCTTTAAGGCCAATTCTTCCAAACTGTAGGTCTCAATTTTCAGAAATCGCCTCATACAGAATTTTTGAGAGGTGAAGTGGATAGTTCATGGTCATCTAGCAGTCAAATAACTTGAGTTTGGGAATAGAAATGTCTGTTACTAAGTCAGTCTGCTTAGATGGTTTGCCATGGAAGAGATACTTCCCTCTTAACCCCTTGAAAACACAATTTCCCAAGATTTGAGGTGCTATTGAACCTTTCTGTAATGCAACAAATACTGAAGTTAATTGCTGGTACAAACAAAAATTTCTTGGAACAGCTGGCTGTAGTTTAGTCTTTTTGGTGTGCTTAAATTCTTCTGGTAGCATAAAGTAAAAGTAAAACTTAGTATCCATGATCTTCAGGTGACTGGTTTGCTCTTTTCCTTTGAATTTATTTTAGAGGGAAAAGCTACTGTGCAACTTAGTATACTTAATAAAAATACTGTGAAAGGGCAGAAGCTTCTATTTTTAATGAGGCTTTCTGGAGGAGTTTTTCTTTTCCTTTCTAACACTAAAAATTAAAAATTCATAGGTTATGCTGACATAACTGTTACTTACTGTCCTTGCTGGTGGTGGTCACTTCAGTGGAATATCTTTTTGGTTCAGCTTTTAACATCTTAAGGTAAATCAAACTTCCACCCTGCCTTGAAAAACAAACCCAAACAGCATAAGACAAAAGTGGCACCTTTCCTCCAAACCTGAACAATTTTCTACTCTCTTTGGTACAATGATGACAATTTGAATTCACAATTTAGCTTACAGCAAAGCTTTCCTGAACTATGTTTTAGCAAACCTGAGTGTTAATTCTGATTTTGGTGGAAGAGTTGGTGATAGTCCGATTATGCCTACAAATGGTTATTGCTTTAATAAACATCATAGACACACATATTACTCCAACCACTTTTAGTTTTCTTGGTCCTGCAAAGTTAGATGGAACCAGAATTTTAGATAGCTTAAGTTTAAATGAAATCTTAACTATAAATTTGTTCTTCTGTTTGATAATCCAGAAGACTTGAAGATACTGTGTAGAATGGGAATTGGCTGTTGCTCCAGCAGTGTCAGGCTGATGCTGGTGTAGCTATCATGCACAGCCCACAGATGTAGGAGGCTGTAATTTAGAACTGGTTTCAGACATAACAAAGTGCAGGTCATCGGAAGTACTCTGGTAATGATGGATGTTACTGCATCAGTAGTAGCAATGCCATTGCATTAGCTGTGCATAGTACCATAATTCTTTTCACTTATGCAAATTTTTAAAAAGTGGAAATGAGCCGTTCCAGTTGTGGATTTGCTGCTGCTGAGATCACAGTTGCTGGTGAATAAGATCTGTTATCTTATTTACTGGGGGTAAAACTACTAATCTTTCTCTCAGAAAGAGCCATTTTCCCTTCTGTGGTGCTCCAAGAGCAAGGCACTTGTTTTCAGCACTAAGAGGGTTTCTCATAAAGGACATCTGAGGTCTGTTAGTTTTATGTTGGGAAGTCTCCTGTCATCAGTTACGAGCTTCTTGGGCAGCTTTTATAGAAAAAAACCCAGCTAGTTTCATGATCGTGCAGGACTACCTTTGATGTCCCACCATTAAGTTTTCTAGATAATAGAAACAAATCCAAAACCAGAGTGATCAGGCACACACTGAATCATCTGGCACTAATTTCCTTACCCTGGGGGATGACAGAATATTATTGTTGCCCTTAACTTGAAAAATGGAGAAGTCCCAGCCTTGGTGTGTAGGAGGCCAGACAGCCATCATCAAAGTAAAGCTCCAGTTATTTATGCACCCAGAAGAATATTTCTAAAGTTTCATTTGTACATCTGTTGATGGTGTGTTTGAAGTCTCTTAGGCTGAACAGTGGCCCTACATAACCGTTGTGTTAAAATTAACATGAGTTAAACTTCAAGGGAATCTTTGAAGTGGTCACTAAGTGCTTTTAGTGAGTGTTTCAAAGGCATGTTGTACTGTACACCCATGCTTCTGCGTATTTTAAACATACGGGTATGAAAAGGGCTGATGTGAAAAAAGATAATTTCTTCAAGGCTTCCGTTGTACCCAAGTCTTGGTTTGGTTTTTAATTTGTGTATTTACACTGACCAGTATAGCTTATGGTCCCCTTTATGCAGTGACCAAAAAAAAACTTGTCGGCACAGCAGTCAGATCTGACCAAAAGCCTGTTGCAAAGAGCCAAAATTTGTGCTTAATTCACAAGGGCTGGGCTAGCTTTCATCAGAGGCACGCTGGAAACTGAACTTCTGGTGCGGGTAACAGTACTTGTTTTCATTTGTATCAAAACAGTTTCCCAAAGAAGATGATGTGGACATCAGATGCTGTTCTCGAAGGGCAGAAGTTGTCGTGTCCCATGTATGAATGTGTGAGTGAAGCCATAGAAAACAGCTGACCCTTCTGTGATGTTTCTGTACCAAACTGTCCAGCTTACTGGCACTAGATAATGGGCAGCTTTTTCAAAGTATAGTGGTTTCTGTATGTTCTCGAATAGAAAACCCAGGTTCTCCCTTCTTTCTATACAGTAGGGGCTTACAGGTGCTAGTTTTACAGAATATTTACTGGACATCTTTTTGATAAGGTCACTACCCTATTTTCTGATCACTGCTGTAACCTAATAATCATTAATTCTTTAAGACCTCTGTGCTATAAGCTTCTGACTCCAGACATATAGTTCCAGTTCCTGTTTTGTGAAGGTCAGGCCTTGATTTAATGGGTTTATGGATGCATGTCCTCCTGCAGCACTTGCTCACAATTACCATCATTTCCCTTACACCCTGGGAATGTTCTTGATTCATCTTTGGGGTGAGAGGATGTCTGTTGGTGCTCACCCAGTGTGTGATGGTTGCTGAATGGTGTGTTGTTGCAGCTGGCACAGTGTTGCTACAGCCTGCAAATCTGTCCGGATGGTCCGTGCTGCAAGACAGTTATGAGTGGCTTTCATGTATGAAATTTCTACTGTGCATGGATGCAGAAAACAGCTGAAGTTGGATAGTTCTGCTGTTTCACGTCTTGGAACCTTACAGCTGAAAACCGATTTGGTCACAGTATCATTTATTTGAGCAGGTCTTAATCTGAACAGCAGAGGGCAGTTTTGCACACACATTCTGTGCAAACTCATCCTGCAAAATCCTAATTTTTAGAATCTTCCTGTCTGGTGAGTTGATGCAATGCAGCATTTTGTCCAGACGAATTTGGTACAGTGTTTAAGACAGGATCAGTGGGGCAGCAGTGGCATGTGTTTCTACTGATACCTATTTGACTTTTTCAATCCTGTGTGTTTGGTTTATTGTGCTGACATGATAAGAAGGATTTCCATTTTTTTTCTCTCCATCCCTCAGCACAAGCCAGGTATATAGATAAGCCAGCTGCATTGTACAACTTAAACACCGCAACAAAATGCAACTGAATCTCATGCCCAGCATGTGAGAGGAGTTTTCCCTTGCTCAGTTGTCATTTTTCTGGATGAGCTTTTCTAGCTGGAGTGAAAGGAGAGCGCTTGTTAACTGCAGTAGGGATGGAAGAGAAATTTGCATCTTGAGACTGCCTGGAGTTGAACTCTGCCTGTGATGGCCTGTGTGAGGAGGGACAACCAAAAAACAAACCAAAAAGGCAAGATGTTATAGGTCGGTGACAGGATGCAGTTTCATTGCTGGTTGAATTCCATTTTAAGGTGGCAAAATGTACTCACCCTGTTGCAATCCTGTAGCTGACACAAAGTGAGCTGGTGGGGTCTCTCTCATGCCTTGGAGGCAGCTATTTGTATCATAGTGGCACCCTGGCCTGAAACCAAATCTTAACTACTCCTACAGCTCGGAAGTGGTTTTTCTATGCTTCCTGGGCTGTGTTTGCAGAGGGAATGTGTGTGTTTGTGCCATACAAGTAAATGGAAGCTTTCAGCCCTTGTAGCTGTAAGTCAGCATTTTTCCAAACATTGAACCTTGTTAGTAAGAAATTCTTCGAAGTCCACTTAAAACATGGCAAGTATCTAGAGAAAGAGAACTGTTTAATAAAAGATACTGTCTCTGCAAACCATGCTTCTCCTGCTTCCTTAGGTCAGTCTGGATATGTTACACCCTGTAAGATAGCCTGGAAGATACGGAAAATTGCTATAACAAACCAATATTTGCGTGTTTTGGCATGTATGTAAAAGAGAATTTCCTGAAGCTCTGAAACAACCTGGTTAGCATCTTCTGTTGTATTTAATATTATTTAATGAGAAGGAATGTACATTCAGCTTTGATGATTAAAATTACAATGATTATTGCATGAATATGTTAATTATAAAGCAATGACTAATTAAATGGAGAAATGGAGAAAAGGGATTCTTGAGCAAGCATGTTCTTTGAGAAACTCTCCTGGTGTTTTTAATTGATAGTACATGCCTAATCAATGCATAGCAGTATCTCATTATTGGTGTGAACAGTCTGGTTTTGATGGAAATTTGCTTTCACCACACATTGACCTGGTATAATGTAATTGCTTGTTCCTGTAAGTTACAGCAATGAAGACTACCAACTCCTGGAATTAAGGAGGTGGAAGTTTTTGCCTATACAAGGAAGAGAAGCCCCATCTGACCCCAGGTTGCAGGCTCCATGTTTATTGAGTTCTTCTAGTTCAGGTGTTTCCTATAGTGACACTCACCTGAATTTGCATAACTATGAGGGGTTGCTATTTGATTTACATTTTGTTTACTTTTATCCCTCCAGCTAAAGTTTAAAGCTTTAACATTAGGCCCCTTGGCTTATGTTAGAAGTTGTCTAACAGAACTAAGGGCCCTTTTTACGTCTCTGTAGGGATGTTATCTACTGGCCATTGGCACTGGCAGAATTCTTAGCATGAAATTATTATTACTTCTGTATCAGCAGAGATGTGTGTGGCACTCTGAAGAATCTGTCAAGATGAAGTCTCTGCTTCTACAAGCTCACAGCCTGCGGTCCTGATCCTGTAATTTACTCTGCATGGTCCTTTCCTCATGGAAACCTAAGCAGTCAAGAGCAGGACATTGGGACAGTGACCCAGGAAGGGAGAAGGTAAGGTTTAGGATAGTATGATTGTTTTGGCAGTTATTGGGTGGGTGTTTTGTTTATCTGAATTATTTACGAAGCTCTAAAGCTTGCTCCCTTTCTACATCATACTATTTTTAGACTGGTTGGCTAATGAGTGCTAGTTAACAATATCATCAAGAAAAATCAGACCTCCACCAGTCATAGACCTGCTTATAAATCAAGACACCTACCAAAAGGAAAAAAACATATTAAAGACACTATAATTGAAAAGATTTGAAGCACAACCCACCCCAATCTGAAATCAAATAACATTACTGTTGAGCACTGGGTTAATAACTCTGCTGGTAGTCCTACAGTTCATAAGTGGCTTCCGCATTGTAAATGTAAGAAGCAGTCTTTCAGAAATCTGGCTTGCTGTTTGATAGCAACTTTAAAAGGAACTCTCACTGTTCTGTCAAAACTTAGTAATCAGCCTACACCGTAGTGCCTGAAATTCGGTGACGTCATTATGCAAATAGGAAAGCCAGTACATAGGTCTTAAGCAGGCATAAATAAGGCAAACAGCTTAGAAAGCAGTGCAGTGAATCAGCATCCATCCTAGATGTTGGGCTGCAAACTGTGAATACATGACAATCTGGTAAAACGGTTGAAAACTGGAGAGGTACTTTACTGAGAGAAAGTCCAGTTTTAGACAACTGAGCCATCCTTAAAAACAATGCAGCCTTCTAAATCTTGCTTCTGATGCTCAGAGTCCTCGTGGTTAGAGCAGATGTTATCTGTTGACCAGGATGACTCTGTCCTCCTTTTTCTGCTCTGGAGCCGGTATCTGGAAAGGAGAGGAGAATATGACTGGAAGGAGTTGGTTTCCAGAAGATCAGATGATCAGACTGATGTGTCCTGCCACCCTCAAGAACCAACAAACTGGTTCTTAATGGGAGCTTGAGCTAACCACTTGGGCACTTTGGCTTCTCTGGGCAACCATGGAAGTAAATGCTAATAAGTTACATTGGTTTTCTAAAGGGCTTAGAGACTCTGGGATGGAATGTACTGATATTTGGGCAGTGCTTTCCTCATGCCTTTTGTCATACAATGTGAAGCAGGGAAAACAATTGGTTTGTGTGTAGAATCCATCCTTTCACTTTGGTTGTTTCCAGAATGGTGTTTGTTATGAGACTGCCAGGGTCAGGAGCAGTGTTTTCTCTGCTGGGTTGACCCCAGAATTTTTCATCGGGTCTGATAATATTT